AAAAAAATCTAGTCTCCTATTTTTTGTGTCATATAGGAAAAGAAGCATCAATATCCGATGAGAAGACTCATCGGATATTGGCCTTACTGTGTGTTATTTTGTGGTGTTTGGTGCAGTTTTCTTGTTTTGTAGGATTGTTTTTTTTTTCAATGGGAGGTGAATATCTCTAACAAGTTTTTTTCACATTTGCACATCTTAATTTTTAAGTGAAATATGCGTTTTGAGTTTATGTACTTTATGCATATAAGGCAACGTTTTCCTTTTGCAGTATTTTTGTGTAGTGCATTTTTCTATGTTTTAACAAAAGGGGAACAAAGGTGTTTAAGTCAACCAAAAATGATGTTATTATTTTCACATACTTACTGAGGTTATGCGAAGTGCTGGAAAAGCTTGAAAATGGACTTGAAAGTGCTTAGAAAGGGCTTGAATTTAACCCTGAAGAAGGTGTATGAACCCCGCAAGACAGGAAAGTAAAAATCTCAAGAAGGAACTGATGAAAGTGTAAGATGAAGTTGCAGAGGAGAAAATGGAGTTGAAGGGATTCCTCAAAGCAATGACAGACACTGAAGTGACCAAGAAAGACTGTAAAAATGCACTGAAAGACCTACAAATGCACAAAAAAGAAGCTAAAGAGCTCCTCAAACAGTAAAACTGGCCAAACAGCAAAAAGAAAAAGTTAAAGATGCCAAGCAGCACCTAAAGAAAACCTTACAAGAGCTGAAGGCAAAAGAAAAGAAAGCCGAGGACAGGAGTGGATTCTGGAGCAGAGTGCAGAAGAAAAACTGTCCCAGCAACATCGAGTTTAAGGGGAATGATGGATCCACAAAGGAGGACCAATAGTTTCTTCTTCCTTCCCCCTTTCTCTCACCCCAAACCTTTTTCATGATCTTCTCTACCCTCACCCTGGCCCATGGCAAGTGTTGTGTAAAACAGTACCACACTTTCCACTATGTAACTGTGAATAAATCCATTATTGCTTTATTTTACAATGCAGTGCAAAAATATTATGCTCCCAATCTTTTTTTGAGCACAAAGCTTTTTTTGCCCCTTCCTGACTTCTTAAGTTTTATTAAGTTTCGTTTTTAAAAAAATGATGATTTCGTGTTTTGGATTATTGTCCTGGTAAACCTAAAGGCTTCAGGGAGCATTAATTGAGACAAGTGAAGCCTTTAGGTTTTTATTTCCAGTTCTTTTGTGACCTTCTGGATGAAACGTCGATGGGCTACGTCCACACGTACAGGGGTATTTTTGAAAATGCATATTTTTCTATGCGTTTGGGTCTTTCTAGCCTTGTGATTGGTCACCATTTAGTTTATAGCGTTTACATGTGGACGGAGATATTTTTTCAAAACTGCACGGCTCAACAGGATTTTCTTTTTAAAACAATTCCGTTTTCAAAAATACCCGTGTACGTAACCTTGGAGTAATTTTAGTAGGTCGGTCAGTTCAAGTCCCAAAGTGTTTGAAATGCCTTTGTAACCCTTTCCGGTAGTGATGTGCGATACCACTGATTTTCTTTCCGATCCGATACCAAGTAATATTCAGGGTGGTATCGACGATACTGATCCGATACTTTGTACAAAACTTATTTTATTTATTGTATCTCAAATAATAGCGTCATAATGATTACAGGACTCCGTGAGAGACGTCTGTCTCGCCCTAGCAGCACCTGTCCCTGTCCACTCCTCCTCTTCAGTTCCCCTCCACATAAGCTCATCATATTCTGTGATGTGATTTACTCTGAGGTGTTTGACACGGTTAGTGATGTTGCCACAACCATACATGCCAACTCTCCCGATTTTTCCAGGAGAATCCCGAATTTCAGTGCCCCTCCCGAAAATCTCCCGGAGCCACCATTCTCCCGAATTTCTCCCGATTTTCCACCTGGACAACAGAATTGAAAAACCATATCCCAGAATTCATAGCACGGCCCAGCCAATTCAAGTTTCCAACAATGACGGCAGCTACTTAGTTTTAATATTACTCTTATTTCTCTTTCTGGGTCGCAAAAAAACTTTAAACATATTTTCAGGTAAGAATGTAGCTGTGTAAACTTCAAATATCTGAGCCGACACATCGTCTTCAAACCCCGCGGTCTTTCACTACTCGGGTTAAACATGATATATAAGTCACTTTGATAACTTAAAAATGTTCTTGTTTGGCTTTTTCAGTGTTTTATTTGTTCGTGAGTAAATCGGTTTGGCTGAGATTAAAGTTATTAGATTAGATGAAATAAAATTTAACTTTATTAATCCCTCGGGAGGGGTCCTCCGGGGTTTTCACACAGCTGAATAAACGTTAAACAGAAAACTAATTAAACAAAGTGTGAGACGGTCGAGAGTTTACGTCAGCGCCTGGTTATATTTTAGATAGGAGCAGACGGCAGAGTTTCACTCCACCGAGGGAGCACGACGTACTACCCGGCTTTCTTTAGACCACGAAGGCCGGGTCCTCAGGTGGAAGCAGCCTCTGAATTTGGACACCCCCGTTGTTTCCGGGCCGGCCAATAATAACGGTGACATTTAACGTATTTTATCCGACAAATAAACCCTGTAAAATGCATTCATCCCCCCTCAACAGCCCTTTTGAATGTCTCCCTAGTATGGCCACAACACCTCACTCTTGGAGCACTTTTTTGCTACTTTTATCGCAAACCACGTCTCAGCTGTTTGTGGAGGTAAAATAAGTCCGCACATGACTCCAATTACACTCAGCCATTGTTGTGATCGATCCTGAAATATCGATTCCTCCGATACCAGTCATTTATGTTCTAGAATTGATTCTCATATAAAATATCAATATTTTAGTAATTTAGGGTAAATATGTAGTTTATCATTAACAGGAACAGTGGAAAGAAACTATATCATTCGGATCGTTTACATTCAAAGGAACTACTTCCTCTTCCGCCTTTCATAGTCATGTGCGAAATACGGCTGTATAAATGTCTCGCAGCCCCTTGGCGTTTTTTTAAATCCTGCATGTTATTAAAAGGTGGTGATGGCGAATAAATAGTCCATCAAAAGCTTTGTGGGTCAGTCCATCTCAGCCCAGGATCAACTTTATTGCTGGCTTATTGTTAATATCAGGTAACAATAACAAATTTTTATTTCCTACTTTATTGTTCATACTTTTTCTAAAGTAGATTTTCCTCTGTGACTTGTGTCTTTGATTTAAAAATAATGGTAAGCATCACTGTTTTTATTTTCAGAATTACTAATTAAGATTTTATTTTCATTAAAATTTCTTTCTTTGACAAAATAAAAATAATAATAAATATGTGTGTGTGTTTAAAATGGATTAAAAATGTAATGCGTCTGAGAGTTTATTACCACACGACTCTTCTTCAGCTGATTTCACACATAGAGACAAGAAAACTGCATTGTTATAGTTCACTTCAGTTATTATGTTACTGTTTTCTGTCATCAGATCTTGGGTTAATTATAAAAAATTTGTAACTGGTAGGGTTAATAAAAGAAGCTACTGCTGTACAGGATTAATAGTAAAAAGCAAGCAATAAATCTAAAGGCATGCTATATATATATTAGCACTTTGAAAATCTTACTGATCATGCAAAGCTCAAACCACATCGAATCATACATTCATCCACTTTAAGCAATATGATCTATCCCCAAATGCACAGCCAGTTTATAATCACTCGTTAACCTAACATGCATGTGTTTGGACTGTGAGAGAAAGGACCTCATTGCTCTGAGGGAAGATTAACTCATTTATCACTGTGGCAGATGATGGTGACGATGACCAGCCCCTGTCCTAAAACCACTGCACTGTATTTATCAGTTGGCCTGTTTCAAAATTACAAGTAAATTATACTTTATGTTAGAGAAAAAAAATACAGTCCTTGTCATGCATTCACGTTTTCTAATTGTTTATACAAGACACCCATCCTGGATCATATCAATATTCATTTAGGTTTGAGTGATCCAAATGCACCACATTGTGACAATAACCATAGCATAGCAGCTGATGATCAGTAGATAGATACGAAAGAGCAGGAAGTCAAGGACATATCCTACATGGCACCACTGGTCCAACAGCTGGCTTTCCTTCTGCAGAGAGACGAGGTGGGCACGAAGTTCAGCAAGGTACTGACAGATCTGTTGCAGTTCAGGCAGAGCAGATGTACCTGGCAGAAAAGTGGAGATTAAAAAGTCAAATAAAGAGCACTCCATAATATATTTAACACCACAGATATCTTTTAATTTAATACAGAATAGAACATTTGCCCATGTAACCTTTTTGTATCTGAGTGAACCAAGCGATGCCTGCCAGTATGTTTTGTCAAATACTTTTAAGGTCACAAGATTTTTCAGTACCAATTGGCCAATGGCAGTAATGACAGAGTATTATGTAGGTTGGCTACCGTTACTAACTGGGTGCTGGTCAGGTGCCCGGCTGGCTGGTTGAATGATCCAAGGACCAGAACTGCCATTGGCGTTTCCAGGTTTATCCTTCTGTGGTGTAGAAGGCGGCTGGATATCTTCTGGCCAGCGGTAGCAGATGAGGTTTGCTATATGTTTGAGCACAACAACCCTAACCCACTTTGGAACCTCCCGATATTTCAAGGAGTTATGGTGGAGGACATTTGTAATGATGACTGTTTCCAGTAGACTGATAACCATGAGGGCAAGACACACTGAGAAATAGATACCTAGATTGAAGAATCAAAGGACAAACATTAAAGTAGTCATACATTTAACTTTTAAGATGTTGGCTGAGTTGTTTATCAGCACTTTTAACAGGCAGCTAAATTTGGGACCTATAAGCCTTCCAACCATTTTCTTCTACTTATCTATAAGGTGGTTTATAACAGTATGCACCTATGATGGGAGTGCCATTTGCTGTACTTGGCAGCAGGTCGTTCATGATGAGCAGGAAGACTGTGTAGCCCAGGATGAGGGTCATTTTGAAGGAGGCACGGTCGACGCTATGGGGAGGCAGGTAGAAGGACAGGATGTCAATGAGCATGAGGAAAGAACTTGGGATCAGAAGGTTGACCACGTAGAGCACTGGGCGCCGCTTTACGACCACCTAGTGAACAAGAAAGCACATGCAGTTTAGATGCATCTTCCCAGGTGTGACTTCTGTATTCATAAAAGTGAGTTTTTAATTTTGCATTCATTCTGTTGGTTCTTTTTTGGTTTCTATAAACTGATAGATACTGAATTGGTAAATGCTAAATTCTAAAATACCGTTCACCGACTCCTGTTTGGGGATGAGAATGTACAAAACCATCTGCCTGTTGCAGTTCAAAAAGTTTGTATAGGAGAAGTAAGAAAGGAAACAGTTAGCTAAAAATCACTTTAAAGGTCTACAGTGATGCAGTGGCTTGCAGATAATCTGTGGTCAAGCAGTAAAGCCTTTTGGATGGTTTTAAAAACAACTTCTGACCTTAATAATAAGAGACTCAGCTACATGTCACACTCTGTGTTGAGCTAAACTATACCTGCTGGCTTACATTGTATATTTGCCATACAGACACTAGTGGTAAATAGCATTAATAAGTAAGCATCAGTCCCATTGTTGCTGTGCTGTGGAGTCTCTGATGCCCAAATTAGTTTCAGTCTGTTATATTTGTTTTATTTAAAAGTAGGAAATTCAGTGTGGTTCTCTGACCCAGAAGGTGATGATGTCCCATTCGTCGATTCCAAATTTAAGTATGGAGGTCTCTCCCAGTATGTCCACCAGCTCCCACTCTCCACTTGCTTCCAGGTATCGTTTTGAGTTTAGAGACATCTCCTTAAAAGGCAGAGCTGGACTGACCCTCACATCCCGTACTATGTAAGACAACCACAGCAACACAATACACTGTTAGGTATACATACAAAAGTAATTTTGTAATTTGCACACAATGTATGATAGTTGTGTGATTGAAATGAAGATATTTGGCTGTCATTTAAGCGGTTTAATAAAGTTATTCAATTAACCCTTTAGGAAATACAGACATTTTCAAACATAGTCCTTCAAATTAATTGGAGTCAGTCTCATAACAGTCACCTAATCTCAACCCAAACAAACATGTTTTTTATTTATTTATTACAACCCAAAAAGACCCAAAAACAAACGGCAACTGAAGGTGGCTTCAGTAAAACCCTAGCAGGGAGGAAAGGGAGGAAACAGTATTTGGTTAGATGGCTTCTGCACTTCAGGCAGTCAGAGAATTTGTATCCCAGTATTAAAAACAATTATTATGTTTAAAATTATGTTACTTTGTTCCATTAATATTATTTAGCCACTGAAGATGTGAACTATGTGTAAAATTGGCTGTAATTCCTAAAACGGCTGATGCAATTTTTTTGTTAAACCCTCTGAATTAAAGCTGAAAGCAGCCCATTCTTACTGGTGTGCATGTAAGAGCCAAATGTAAATGTGCAGTTCTGCACATCAAAAGGAAAACTGAAGATCTCCAGATTGCAGGATGAGACGAGCCGCAGCATCCTGTCCCAGCGGATGTGACCCGTGTGGTTAACGTAGACGTAAGGACATGCCTGGGAGACGTCGTCATCCACACTGGCAGGGGGAGGTGGGGAAATTAGGAAATAGTATAATATTGAACAAAAACAATGACAGAAAAGAGAGATCGTATTTGTATCAGTCCCACTGTGGATACATATGTATGAGACACAACAGATATATGTTTTGAGGCAGTGTAAAGTAAAAATAGAAATAAATACAAGTACAGGAATTTTTTATAACTTCATAATTTTACAAGTGCCTCTGTAAGTAATTACAGTAATCAAGTACACACAATACTAGGACCATAAGAGGTCTGTATCTATCCTTATTACACCTGTGGTTCCTCCACTGTGACAAGCTAAAATGTCTGTGTGAAAGAGTCGATAATGTAGCTGCAGATGACATCTTAGAATATCCACATGGTTTGTATTTTGTAACTGGACTTCAGGATCTTTGGCTGATTCCAAGCCTGTTCACAAAAATATCTTTTTCAGATCTGTATCAGCATCTCGTGCTTATCACTCTAGACTTATGGCGATTGTGGCTCAAGAGTTGGGAGTTCGCCTTGTAATCGGAAGGTTGCCGGTTCGAGCCCCGGCTTGGACAGTCTTGGTCGTTGTGTCCTTGGGCAAGACACTTCACCCGTTGCCTACTGGTGATGGTCAAAGGGCCCAGTGGCGCCAGTGTCCGGCAGTCTCGCCTCTGTCAGTGCGCCCCAGGGTGGCTGTGGCTACAATGTAGCTCCCATCACCAGTGTGTGACTGGGTGGATGACTGGATATGTAAAGCGCTTTGGGGTCCTTAGGGACTAGTAAAGCACTATATAAATACAGGCCATTTACCATGGCAACTATGCATGTGTGGTTTCATGCTTACAGGTTCATTTTGCTGAACTGATTAAATGCATAAATGTTATTATTTAAAAAAATGTTTTATTTGAAGTGCTTACAACTCATAAACAATGATGTCCGGAGACCAGAGCTCCTTCACAGGTAGAGAAATCTTCGTGACACCATCACACTCCTTGGGGTCCCAGACCAGGAACTCATTGTGCCAGTACTGCCACAGAAGTAATGCATTGATTTTAAACCTCCAGTGTAACATTTAAATATGTGAGCAGCTTTTTACAGTGTCCATGGTTATACTTACTATAAGTTTGACATTTATTGAGTACTTACCAGTCTCAGCCACAAGAAAGTAGTGAGTATCTGAGTTTTCTCATTCTGAAATACAGTGAATATGAGTAAACCTGTTGTTGACTGGTACCACTCAATTTGAGTTACAGTAAAACAGCATTAAATAAGAATAGGTATGATAATAATATGTGGTTTTAGAGAAATTCCTTAAGAAGTCTTGGTGCATTTCTTAAAGTGGTAATAAGGAAACTCACCACACCGAGGACAGCATACAAAGTGAAGGAGATGTTGGCTATGGTGGGATTGCTGAGGTTCACGGCTGGCCTGAAGGGTTGGAGGTCAAAGACAGCCTGCAAGGACTCGTGTGTTGGGCCACTGTGGCCATTTTTACAAGACAGTATACTGTAACATACAGACACTGACCACAGAGAAAATGTATTTCATAAAAACAACAAAACACAAAGAATAAACTTTGCTTTTGAGTTTTTGCCTTTATGGATTTTTACCTATAGTGTCAGATTAGATGGGGTGACCAAGAGGGTCACCTCAAGGCACCTTATATTGTAAGATAAAACCCCTAAAATAATGACCCCCTTGGAGCAAGCACAATAAATTGAAATCTATTAATTACTGTATTTTTCTGACCATAAGGCACACGGGTTATAAGGCGCACTGTCGATGAACGGGTCTGTTTTTTTATACATAAGGCGCACCGAATTATAAGGCGCTTGTTAAGCAAAACAAGCATTAGCATTCATCCTCCAGCGTTTTTTGAGAAAATTAAAGGATTTTAAGTGTGCCTTATAGTGTGAAAAATACAGTAGATATGATTCAGAAAGGTCATTGGAGAAAATTGTACTAAACAAATATCAGTAGTAGTGCAAGTAGCTGTACATAATATTAGCTGTGAGATGGTGATGACTAATTTATTCTCTGATGGTTTAAATGTATTTTGTGAAAATATTCATTAAGTCATTAGTTGTTTCGATTAAAGAAAAGCTTGATTCAGCAGCTCTGACTGTTTGTCAGCTTGGTTACAGTGTTGAAAAGAAACCTTATGGTTGCATACTCTTTTTTCAGCAATGAATAATAAGTGCCCTAGTTTCACCGAGGAGTGAAGGAGGATTTTTTGTTTTTTAAAGCGCAACAAACTTTTTTCTTAAACTAAATAAGCATCTTCTAAATTAGTGAGATGACTTTTCCTCTCCAGTTTACAGCTTATCTGCTTTCAGGTGTGTGTTTATGAGTTACACTAAGCACTTCTGATTGTAGACTTTATGATGGATTTTTTTAGGCGTATTTCATACATAAGACAGATAATAATGTGTATGTACAAAATGTTACTTAGTTCTATCATTTTCAATCAGCCAGATTTGTTTTGATTCTTAACTGAATATTTTAAAATGTATGTACTAACACTGTATGATAATTCTTCATATTTAAACAATAAGAACAAGAGTCTAATGTCCTGTATTCATTATAAAGGTATAGTTTGAAATACTCTCATTTTTAATCCAAACACATCAAGTTTTTGCTCAAAGTATCGGTATTGGATCAGTATTGCTGCCTGAATTTTACTGTATTATCATATCAGAAAGGAAATCAGTGGTATTGCACATAAGATAAGGGGGGAGAGGGAACTTATTTATAGCACTTTTAGAAAGATTTCTGCTGTAATCAAATGTTATTCATCAAATGTCAAATCAAATGTTATTCATTAAAAGCCATTAAACAATAACAACAGTTGCCAACTAGAAGATGAAATAACAAAAAATATTTACAGCAGTAAAAAAAACAAACGTCCTTGCAGTACTTATACTTAGAAAGTGTGATTCTAGCATACCACAGTGACATAAACTAAATGTACAAAAGGGAAAAGAAACAAATATATTTGCACAGTAAGACTGATTTTAACCTGGACCTGACAGATAAAACCTTTACATTAGTAATAATTAAAATAATAACAGTCATGCTTATCATTATTATTAAAAACATTTGTTGCAGATGAAAACCTGCTTAGGTTTAGAAAATAAAGTATGAACACTTAAGTAGGAAATAGAGGTGTTATCATTACCTGACATTAAGAGTAATCCTGTGATGAAGTTGATTCTCTGCTGAGACGGGCTCATGCTGAAAGCTTTTGATAGACTAAACTTTCTCCACCACCACCTTTTAATAATGTGCAGTGAAAAGCTCCTCCTGATAACACACACACACACACACACACATACTTGTTTTTGTCTCTTAAAGAAATATTGTAATGATGAACCTCTGGAGATTTAGTGCCTCCTTAACCACAGCCACTACCTGCCTTACCCCGAACAAAACAGCAATCTTAAGACTAATAAAGACTCTATTGTTTAAATCATCAATGTTTTATACACATTTTATAAATAGAGTCTCACAAATAACAGATTTCACTAAAAAAGAACAACAAAAATAATAAACAAAACAATATATGTGCTAGAACTCTGTTGTGCATACCTGTCTAACACGTTTTTTTTGTGTTATTATCTCTTTTATTGGGACAGCTGTTGAACATAACAGTAGTTTGCCTTTTTACACTTTCTTTGCTGTCACATTTTAACTTGTAATTGAAAAATAAAGAAGACAGAAAAAGAAGAGAAAAGAAAAGAAGAAGAGAAAAAAAAAACTAGGGTTAGGAGGCAGCAGGGCAGGTAGGTTTACGTAGTACTCAGGGTTGTAACATCATATACAAAATCACACCTCATATGCTTAACATAGTCTGTCCATTTAGACCATATTCCATAGAAGGTATCCCTCTGAAGTTTAAGAGAAAATGACACTTTTTCCATCGTATAGATCTCTTGTACAGAATGTGTCCAGTCTTCTATCGTTGGTGGTTCAGGCTTAAGCCATCTTCTCGTAAGAGGCTTTTTACTTGCGGCCAGAAGGATATACAGGAGTCTTCTGTCATTGGAATTCAGTTTATCCACTGGTGCATTGCACAAAAATATGGTCTCAAAAGTTGAAGGGAAAACAAATGAAAAAACATTTTGTAAATGATCATGGATTAGAGACCAATACTGGCGAATAACTTTACAGTCCCAAACCTTTAACGTGTTTTATTATGCAAACAGTCACAATGGCAGATTATTTCCGTCTGTTTGAGGTCACTGAGGCCTCGTGAATAGATTAAAAAACAAACACACAAACCAAAAATCACCAACAAAAATAGCAGTAAATAGAAAACTGTGGTCTATGCAATGCGTCACAAACACTTACAGGGTAGCACAGAACGTGTTTTTTACACCTACAGTAACCGTTCACCCATTTTGTTTTTCAGCACCTCCACCTGTGGGAGCAGCAGTCTTTTCCGATACCTTTCGGTGTGTACTGTGCTAATGATCCACACAATTATTTTTGGATTTATGCTTTTTTGAAAACCTATGACAGGCTCTGACTCTGATACATAGCTTAAAATAAAATGTATGATTCTTAAATTGTACATTTTGTCATAAACAAAGACAAGAACAAGGACCCAAGGTGCCAATCAAGAAAGACACCCCTACTTCAAAACTCACACCTTCAAGCTTGAATGAAGTTTGCATCTGTCCACGTGGACAAACCAAACGCTTTCTAGAGAACATTTTTATGGTCAGACAAGACAAAGATTGAACTATTTGGCCTCAATAACAAGCGGTGTGTTTGGAGTAAAGGTGAGACTTTGAAACCAAAGAACACTAAACCGTCAACCATGATAGTGGTAGCAAAATACTCTGGTGCTGTTATGCTACCAGTAGTACTTGTAGATAACACAAATGGATGGAATATTCAAACGGAAGACCACCTTCAAATTATTTAACTTTACTACAAATCAACAGCTAGATGTTTGCAACACATTTCAATGTTCCCAAAGGATAATGAAAGCAAACACACATCAACACTGGTTTTGGAATGCATAAAGCAGACTAACATTAAGCTTCACCATCCAAGTCAGGAAACTAACCACTATCAAATCTGCCAAAAAGAGTAATCAGTTATCTTGAATTATGCCCAACCCATATGGAAAAGAAAAAGGAAAAACTTATAAAAGACTTGCATCAGATGTGGCCTACTTCATATAGTGAATCATATAAGACTTATATGATTTACTCATGAAAGTGGCCACTTTCATATATAGTTTTAGTAAGTATCCAAAACATACAAGTTTCATTTATATAATTTTTCTAGGGATCTTATATCTGTTTTCACTCTTGTATGCTTTTCATAGAAGTTTCACACAAGACAGATACAAACTTTATAAGATTTATATATATCTTTTCCATATGGGAAGGCTTGTTGATGGCTGCACAAAACCACACAAAAAGATATATAACCAAAAATTAGTGGGGGTGGCTATTTATATTCGACTGTGTGTGTATACTCTTAACCCTGTGTGGATTAGAGAAAATCCAAAATAATTCTAACTTGTTGTTTTTAAAAGTCATTCAAGATGTATGATGTAGAACTCTTGGAAGGCTCAAATTAAACTTGGAGCTACTAGTCAGGCAAGTGTGAAATGAAACACAGAAAAGTAACATTTTGAATATTGTAAACACTTGCTAAATCAATAAATTTAGTATATTATAATCCTTTTTTTTAACCAGATGAACTCTGTAGATGACTGATCTGTTGATTTCATCTGAAGCCAAACACAGTGGTTATAAAGCAGAAGACAAGATTCATGACTAATAGATGGTCAACGACCAACCCAGTTCCTTCAACACGCTGTCCCCCAGGTGTGGTTGGATGGGTGTGAGGGTTTCTCTAGATGCGCATATACTCTGCAGATCTGTTAATGAGAAGCTGTCTGTCTTCATGTTGCTAAATATAATGTACTGAGTGAACTGCAGTTAACTTTTCCAAATGGCATTTTATTTTTACTTTTTGTATTTAAATTGAATTTCTTTATAATTCCAAAGGATATTAATCAGTGGGACACCAGTAGTGGAATTTTAAATGCTGTTTAATCAATGACACCATCCATTCATGTATTTTAAACAGAGATGAGAAGACAGGCTTCCATACACTTCCATAACTCAACCAAACAAAAGAAAACAACAACAATCTGAGCAAGTATTGCACTTTTTCCATCTCAGTTGCTTGTTAAAATTAATTGTAAACTGCAAAACTGACAACTAACTGACCAAGAGTGACAGCTTTTTTATTATAATAATTCATAATAATATAATGACATGCTAGTAATGCCATACTTTTAAAGTCAAGGTCTTTTTAATTCTAAGATTAAACAAGACAGAAATTTACCACTAACTTTTGAATTAAACACAAAATAACAAACAGCAAAGAAAATGTGAGAAAGACCTTTAATATTTTCACACAGATACAAAACAAAAGCTCATACTACTTACACAAGATCAGAAATTCTTAATAGTAAGTAATAGAATAAAGGTAAAGGCAACAAGTAATTGATACTTAGCACATAAAATATTAATTTTTGTCAAACGATATTTAGCTGTTTGTAAGTCACGCCGTATATATTAGCAGCTTAATGTATGCCAGCTTCGGTCTTTCTACCCTTTGTAACTGACATATGTCATGGACCTGGATCTTTGACCCAGTATTTTCAGCTTTTCATTTTGGACCTTTTGTTACTTTTGATTTTGAGAGATGGTGTTATTTTTATGGTGTTTTGTTTCTGGTGTTATTTCCTGTGTTTCCAATAATTAGTTCTTTATGAAATTATGTTAGTTCTCTTCCCAGTCTCGTCTGTGTCTGGTCCTCAGCGTTTCTTTTGGAAGTCAGTTTTGAATCCGTGTTTGTCTACCTTTCTACCTCCCAAGTCTCCAAGTTCATTTGTCTTAGTCCTGGTCTCAGTGTTTGTTACTTCCTAATTTATTTTGAAAGTCTCTTGTCCCATCTGTGTTATGTTCAGTTTTGCTGTCTCATTGTGGGCGTGATGTTAAATATTATTTGAAAACTAAAAGTTAATGCAAAGAGTTTAAAGAACAGACAAGCTAAAAAGTTAAATTAGGCTGCATTGTATGAAACCACCCAGATAATGATGATGGTAATGAAGCTGACTGTTATGAAGATGATGTAAAGGATGAACAGCAGGCGGTCTATGATTAAACCTATCTGGATCCATTCCTCTGTGCTCAGGCTTTTGCTCAGATGCTGCTCCACCTGAAGGCGGACGGCCTGGAGGACTCTGCCCAGGCTCCTCAGCTCTTGCAGGGTTTTGTCCTCACCCAGTGGCCCCTTCTGCTCCAGAGTCTTGGATTCCTCTGTCACTGGAGAGGAGACTGGCATTTTGTATTGCAGAGAAAACAACAGAGAAAATTATGTCAGCTTTGGCATTTTTTAAGAACTTGCTCATCCCGACATTCTATCCTACCTTTTGTGACCGGATTTTGGATCACTGTGTCGTTTCGATCTCTGGGCTTTGGAAGAAGGCATACTAGTCGACCCAGGATTTTAAGAAAAAGCACTCTGATCCAGCGAGGAGCTCGAGAATAGTTAGAGGAACCGCAGAGGAAGTTTGTAATGACGATAGTTTCCAGTAGACTAGCCACCATCATAGCCAGGCACATAGAAAGGAAAACATCTAATAACAATAATAATAATAATAGTAGAGAAATAATTAATGTCAATATTTTACAGACAAATACAAGTTAAATCCAGACAAAAACCTTTAAAACTAAAAAAAGGACATGGAGATGGAGGAAGACAGAGAGAGATGCATTCCTTCAGTTCACTGTAAAGAGTGTTGCATAACTCATAATGTTTAACTGTAGGGATGTGTGCTACTATTTGATTAGACAATTCATTTTCAGTATTGTCACTAATTGATACCAGAGGTACTTGTTGTTTAATCTCATTATTAACATTTTAATTGATGCCTAATGTCGGTAAATTGTTGTGTCCAAAATGTTATGTTGTTGTTGAGAAACGTCAACAAGGTTTTTAATCTAGGCCTGATCTTGTTACCACTATTATTGTGAAATATTTTAAAAGCAAATGATTGTGAATACAAATGGCAGAAATTAGCTCTCAGTGGGTTGATGGCCTCTCACTCAGTCAATTGGTAGGGGCTCAAAATAGAGCCGCTATTCCTCCATATTGAAAGGTCGCTAGTTGAGGCAGTTGCCTCCTGGGTAAACTGTTC